CAGACAGACAGACAGACAGACAGACAGACAGACAGACAGACAGACAGACAGACAGTAATGTAGAGGTGGGCGGTAATAGAGACAAATTGTAAAAAAAAAAGGGGAAAAAAGGGACAAACATATCAATCCCAACTCAATATCTGCAAACTGATAGCAAAACAAAGAGACCGAGTGTTTGTACGTTGCGCATCCTGTTTCTTTCAAAACATTAACTAGGAAAACGGACGAATAATTGGAGTCATATTACAATTCGACCGGTCAGCACTCAGGGGTACTCGAAAAAACTCAAGGCAACTAAGGCAAATCATCTTCTGTTTTAAGTTTAAGAGGAAATGTTTACAGCAGTCAAAATCAAATAAACTGCAAGAGCTCAAATCTTACACATTTGTCATGACAAAAAAGCTCGAGATTAGATATTCTATTAACGTTGACGATGCATTAGTCGGCTAATGGATAGCTAAATCTATCATTATGAGTATTTGTTGAAAAATAGAACACACAAAAAATAATTGATGCAAATTAATGAGGAGTGCCAGGAAGTGGGTTGTTGGCTGGTGCTCAAGTGTGGTTTGCTCCTTCTTTCCTGCCAAACATCTATCGTCCTTATTTCTTCTCCTTTTTTTTTTTCATTTGTCACTTTCTTGTAAAACACCCCTAATCTTCGGCACTTGTGTGGCCTTATTGTGTGCAATTGCCGTAGATCTCTTACTTAAACCAAATAGAGAAAACTGTTAAATTTTAAGACTCTATTTACACCCCCAAAAAGAATTGAGCAAAGACAAGCACTTTTGGTACAATGTTGGATAGAGTGTGTTGTGTTTTCCGTAGATAGAAAACAATACAAGGAATCAATAGATGAGAATTTGAATCTTTTGCGACTGCAGAGATCTGTATAATTAAGAAAATTAGTAAAGATTTTTCAGAGTTCTGCTTGAGTCACATGGAAACTCAAAGATCGCGTTTCTTCTACCGCAGAAAATACATGCATATGTGAGGTAGCGTGGTGGAATCAGACTCTCGTCAATTTTTGGGCATGTAGAGTTATTGGTATCACTTTGAAGCTTGTTTACTTGTCTTTACATGGTTGAAAAAATATCCATTTATCTTGAATACAAGTCGAGTTATTTGCAAAAGAAGGAGGTGGGGTTCACCTATTTTCAGAGGTAGAATTAGTGAGAAAATGGCCGCCAAAGATTAGTTATTTCCTTAGCTAAAGAGTCTGTTAGTCTGATTCCATCACGCTGCCTCACATATTATAGAATGCAAGGCTCAAAATCTTTAATTCAGTGCCAATTGTAGAAAGTTTCGTCAAATCTCTATTTTATACATTATGGTTTGCTTCGTGCATCGTGACGCTGGTCAGTGCACACTGTGTTTTTTCTTTGTGTTCCCTGTTAGATATCAGGGGTGGTCGACTGCTGGTTCTCCAGTTGAAGGTTGCACACTTTGTCAAACTGATCTCTGCTTTGCATCATCAAATTTGACCCTGAAGTCACTAGGGATTATCACCTTCTACACTAAAACAAACTTTCTGAACCTACAGTGTATAGTGGCCTCCTGATTGCTTATTGTCACCAAACATATGAAATCGTAACATAGATTAGGTTTTTATTTTGACCAGTTTGACGAATAAGTTCCAATATAGCTTTTGCTCCTCCATGAAGGAAAATTCAGCCGCCCCCCTTTTCTAGCAACTGCAGAAAATTTGACGAAAGTTTCTGCATTTTGCATCATACTTCTGTGACGAAA